TGGGCTGCAACGGTGATCCTGCAAGGATTGGCGAGCCTAAGTAAATATATAAAACTTCGCAAGCACCCACCTGAACAGTCGTGGCCATTCCCACTATAACCTGGTTTGCAACTACTGCAGTTAAAGGAACCTTTGGTGTTAATGCAGATGGCATTGTTGCTACAATTGTGAGAGCTGATCTGGCATTCATCTATATCTGAATGTTAATTATAATTTTAGTTAAGATGCATCTTGAATCAATTCTACGCCGGACAGTATGTGACAACAAAGATATATTATGTACTAAAGGTTATGGAATGCGGACGACAGCGAAGGTCTGACATGATGCTCTTGCTCAACCAACGCTGTGCTTTGCGTAAGTTTTAGTGATAGAAAATCAAATCAGGCGTAATCAGATAACGAGTGATAGACCGAGGTCCAGACGAGCGTTATCAGATTGCGACCTCTGCATTCCATTGCATTCTTAGTGGAAGTCCGAACGAAGCTGCCTACAATACGTACAGTGCAGGCGTGATGGAGATTAGGATTGCGGGCTCCTCTTGTCGCCGGCCGCAATTACTGTTTGATCAAATATATCTTCTTATAATAATACTCGGTTGTGATACCGCCTTTTTACGCATTGTAAACTTCGGCTTATAAGCCCTGGGTTAATATATTTCCTTAAGGTGTTTTAGGAGGCTTTATAAACGGAGGGACTTTGATCCGATGATGGTGTTTAGAGGTGCATTGAAGTTGGCGACTCAAGCCACATATTTACAACAAAGCTGTGGCAGAGGTACCGCAAATAGTGACGCCTTTGTTGTCTCGGCAGTATCGAACTTGAACGACATTTGCAGAGGGAAAATTTAGATCAGTGACCCCTTCATTTAATAGCCACCTACTTTCACAAGTTTTTGAGGTAGATCATCACTTTAAAATGATCGTGACTACGCAAATTTATGGAAATTTTTAAGAAAGCTTCATTGTTTGGAGCTCTTAAACAAATTTTAGGCCTCATACTGCCTGATACAATGCCCCCAATAGGTTTTCGGGATCCGGAATTTCCCGGTATTTGAAACTCGGGACGCAGGACGTTTAGAAAAAAATCGGAGTAAGATTCGGGATTGAAAGCATCACGGGAGGTGGGATGTGGAAAAATAACCCTCGGGATTACGGGATTGCATGGAATTTTGGGTCGGAATTACGGGATAGAAGAACGGTACTGGGGAATCGTAATATGTACCACTGAAAATGATGCACCATGCTCTATGACGATCATAAATAGCTTACAATAAGTAGAAAGTCATATATGGAGACAAGGCCTAAGTATAAAATTAATTATAAAATGCCTCTCTTACAACAGGTTCCAGAAAAGTGCCGCGAATAATGTGAGTTATATCCCTAAATCTGCAAACATTCTGTAATACATGCTTTGCAATTAGGTGAGACAAGCTTTTTCTGATTTTTTACCTAGACGATAAAACATCGAAACCTTAAGTTTTCTATAGCTGTTGGTTTATCCCTCACGCGCAGTTTAAGACAAGTTTGAAGATGGTCAGTTAATATGGCTACGAGATATGACGTCATAAGTAGCAGGTGGTCAAGCCATTTTTGAGTGAAAATGCATGTTTTTCAACTTTTTTCAGGAATAAAAGAAAAGCGTCTTGATAAAATGATGCAAAGTAATTATTTATGTGTTGTTTTACTTGTTAAGCGCAAAAAATTATTAATTGTCACTGTTTTTACGTGATTTCTAGTTCTTGAAAAAATGCAAGATGGTTACCATGTCTGGAGACTTCACAGACCTTTAGCAGAGCCACCACGCATAAAATATACTTCATCTTGTAGAGAATTTTAAAAGGTCAAGGGCTTTCCACTGACGGCAAAATCGAAATAAGGGGAGGATCCATCAACCCCAACCCCCCACGGCCCATTGTACCACGGTGAGGGTATGACTTTGCGTGTACGTCCGAGGGTTAAGCCTGCGTATAACAACGAATGGAGAGAAATTTGGTATGGGCTTGTTAATAATTAAAAGCACCTGTAACAGTTCCCTCAAGCGTAGGGCGGGGGTTTCCACGAAACAATTTAGCTCCCTTGAGGAAAATAAAATTTAGGTTCAAACAAAGTATGCCATATAATCCCGGGGGGGTACTGCCATATATGGGCTATATAGGAATGTGCCGCTGTGAAGGGCATGGTTTTCAAGCAGTTTACTCTAGGATAGGGTATATAAATCAAAGCGTTTGGGTCTAGAATAGGGTAGTATTTATCACAAAACTGATCAGTTGGTTGAAATTTTTAAGGTACAAGGTTTTGTTTTGGCTAGACTGTGCTAGTGACCTCAGTAGTTTCTGGAAAACAGCTACTCTAGGATAGGGGGGATTTGGGGAGTATACTCTAGTATAGGGTAGCAAACTTCAGCTGAACTAGCTCTGGTATAGGTTAAGGGATCCAGGGTCCCAGCGGCACATCCCCACGCAGAAATTCCTAATACTTGCTCAATTAAGTTTCCGTAGTT